TAATTTTAAAGATGTACTGACGTATATAGAACTATCTATAATGAATAGTACTTGATTAATTTATAAAAGTACTTGATTGATTTATAAAAACTGATGTTCATAAGAGAAAACTAAGGAATAACATATTTATATTATGGTATATAATATATATATGATATATAATGACTTTTTTATACATTTATTTAATTATAATATTATTATTATTATGTTGAAGCTGTTTTGAGTTAGTGCACTTGAGCACTTTTACTCTTTCTTAACTCGAGGTATTTTGAAAACCCCTCTTTACGCCTTGACCGGATTATTGTTCATCACTTCATCAGACTAAGCAATAATTGACCTCAGATCTGCATACCTCCCCGAGGAGCCTGTAACCATTTTGAGATTTGATAACGCGATGTTGGTAAGTCTGTATTTATTAATATTATATTATTTATAATATTATTTATTTATAACACAAGAAAACACTAGTTGCAGTGGCCTTCTTTACATTCACTTACAATCTCAGAACACATTATACCAAATAATATAAAGGTATTACATATTTAGGATAAGTAATTAAGTATTAAACTCATTGAAATGTTTTTTTTTTAATATAAAAAAATTTGGCTTCTAATTATAGAATAGCGCAATAATTTATTATATATGTACATACTCTCATATATAAATTTCTTCCGTTATATTTTTATTTGGCACTTCCAGTGGGAATTTGTAAATCAACGGTCTGTAAGTAACATACTGTATATTAACATATTTTTAACTTAACTCCAAAAAAAAGCATAAACACATCTTATGTACATATATAATTAATTTGGAAGGCAATTTTAATTTTTAATGAAAATTCTCTTGTCTTTTCATGCCTGAGGCTTAACTTTTAACCTTAATTTCCTTCAGCTTTTGATTAAAAATCAGTAGCTTTTAAAACATAAACATTAAAATAAAATCAAAAACCAAAACAAAAAAAAAATTTCTAAAAGGTTCTTAACTCCTGTGCAAGTTGACAGGACTCTGTGGCATTTATTAAAAAATCACAATAAAGTTTTGTGGAGTGTGAGTGGTTGCCGTTTGTGTGGTTATGACTTTGACAGTGTTTATTGCATGGTTTCTAGTAGAGAGAATAGCATTTGGAACCACATAAACTTACTGAAACATAAACAATAACTCTAACGTCAACAGGATAACTGACATCAAAACAATACCTACAGCAACAACTAAAACTACAACGACAACTTAAACGCAAACAACAACAACTAAAACAACAACGTGCCGATATGCGGAAGCAAGCATGCAACAGTTGTTTGCAAAGAAAAACAAAACAAAAAAAGGAGTATCCACTTGCGTGTGTGTGTGTGTGTACAGTGTGCATGGAACAGCTACAAATAGAAATAAAAATGGCGCTGAAAATGATGGGAAGAAATACGGGAAGATTTTGTTTACGCAGGCAATGCCTCGTGTTGGCGTAAGGATGTACGTTTGCATGAATGGGTTTGTTGTGCATATTTTAGGAATCAGAATTATGTTGTTTACTTTAGGAATGTGTCATTAAAAATTATAAAAATATAACAAAATGTATTAAAAGTATGAGCGAAAGGAATTGAAAGTTGAAGTAAAATAAAAAAAAACTGTAATAGAAATGTATGAATGAAGCGTTATTTGAGATTATAAAAACGTTATAGAAAATATGTAAATGAGAGCGATTATTTAGACACTATAAATGTATGAAAAATTTAAAAATAGTTAATATTTAAAATAGAATAGATAAAATTTTAGATAGATATATCAGAGAAAATATATTTACAAAAGAATTACCTTTTTAATATGTTAGTTTTGTATGGAAAAAATAGTTAGTCACAGTTTGATATTTAAATAGAATGTAGAATAATTGAATAGAATATATAAAATATTAAAACTACGCTAACACATATTAGTACAAGTGCTTAAACAATATAATAAATATGTTAGAAATAAAGAGAATATATGAAAGATATAATTGCTATTATAAATATATTTAAATGACATTTGTATATTAGTTGTACAATATATAGGTAAGTACGATTCGATGATTTTGATATATATTATATATATGGAAATAAAGAATATTTACCCATGTTCTACTGCGCTGCTAGTTGCTTGTTAAGTTGCAGTTGTCCTTAATTGTGTTCCCTCCAAATACTTAAACTTTTTATCCTCAACTAATTATTATTCCGTTTTTTGCTTACATTGCGTCACTTTTTTGATTTCATATATATTATAATGTAACGAAATTATTATTATGCAACAATATTTTAGAGACTTTATAGTTTTATTTTCATATATTTCACATAGTATACTATATAAATTTTCATTTTTTCATTCATTGCTGTAAGGCTCTAAAGGCCTGGTTTTATGTGGAAAAACTCATGGCATTGAAAACTATTTTTGTTCAAACAAATAGAAAAAAATGACACATAAGAAAAAGATAGAAGATTTTACTTGTACTTTCTCATTGCACCAAAATAATGATAGAAGGATATAATATTACATATATTCTACGGTTATATGTGTTTAGTATTGTTGTTGGTGAGCTTAAGCGATTTTTTATGTTGCATCGATTCGTTTTGTCTTGACCCACTTCTTACAATTGTGTTGCAGAGAAGTGCACTCAGTACAAAAAAAAGCAAATATACATATATAAAAATGCAAATAAAAATTACAAAAAAAAAAAACAAATTTAAAAGAAACAGAAAAATTTAACCATATCTACACATTATCGTAACATACACAATATCTTACTGTCTAGAAAATGTTGGCAATGTGCTTTTGAATTTTTTACATTAAAAAGAGATAAATTAAATTAAATTTAAGTATGTATTTTATTTCATTTTATATAATTTAAAATGTTTCTATGTTATTTCTAACTTATTTCTTAACTTTAATTAGCAAATAAATTCTTATACTATATTGAAAAATACTTTCCTACTTTTTTATAAATAACGTATTGTATGTTAATATATTTTTAATTAAATTCAAAAAAAACATAATCATATCATGTATAAAAAGAGTTTATGTTTAATTATTCTTTGATCATACATAAATTTAATTTGATCAGAAATATAAATATATACATAATAAATATAATAAATATATATATTTATAATATATAAAAATATATTTGTTCATAAAATATAATACAAAATTTTTTTAGAGTAGTTACAAGTTTACTTTTTAGTATTAAATGTGTTTTTAGTGAATTTGTGGCTTAATTGAGTTTGTGTAAGAAACTTAAATTGGTTTATTATTTTAATTTTATATAATTATGGCTATAAACATCACTGATGTTTCAAATTATTTTGACTTCTTCCTGCGATCGGATTATTATTATTGAAATATACAGTAGTCTTTAAATATAATATAAAATGTATAAATATATTATAAAAAATATACATATATAAATAAAAAATATAATATATTTTAATAAAATAATAAAAAAATATATATTTTAATTTTTTAATAAAATAATTTTAATGCTACCTTCAAAAAACTGTTATTATTTAAAAAATTAAATAATTTATGAAATAATAAATAAATAAATAATATAAAATATATTATATAAAATATAAAAAATATGATATAAAAAATATAAAACATTTTTCAAAATATTCTGTTATTATTTAACAAATTAAATAATCAATTAACAAAAATTATATGTATTTTTATACAAATAATAGACTAAAAACAAAATTACAATAAAAAACATATTAAAATAAAAGTTAATAAAATAAAAATAAGTTTAAATTTCTTATTAATTATTCAACAATAATTACTAAGCAATATATTTTGAAATTATGCAATTGAAAATAAATTGTACAGAATACACCTTATACCTTAATCTAAGTTGTGTGTAATATTATAAAAAATATAAATTTAAATAATTAATTCATAAGTATTTATTTGCCTTTAATAATATTTATGGAAACGTTTTCCTCTAGATTTTAAATATTTTTAAAATTATACATACTTAGAAATACTAAGAAATGAAAAAAATAAAAATTAATTTCTAAGAATATTTCAGCTTAAAAGGTACTTTCAAAGCAAATTCTAAGCCTCTACAAAATTCCTCAATTCTCATTTCACTGCTAGGTACTTGCCCTACTAACATTTTTCGTTTTGTGTACATAAGTTGAAATATAAAAAAGTTCATTTGACAATGAAATGGTTCAGGTGCATAACAGTTTGCAGAACGGTAGGTGGTCTTTGTATGTAGATTATAGGTGAGTGGGTTTAAATGAAAGCTTCACTTGACGTACTTTTGCTGAACCGAATATGACAAAAGATAAAGTCTAATTAAACTGATAAACTAACGCAAAACAAACTGTGCGACAAAGGCCAATTAAAACTTAAAAATAAGTTTTTAAGTGTACGGATAAGTTGAAGAAAAGTTTTTTTATTTAAAGTGTTTAAACAGAATTCCGAAAGGTGTTAAATGCAATTACTTTAACCAGATAATCAATTATGAACTTCAGTCAAAAGTTGTGTTTCCAAATTTACTACCAAAGCATAAAAATTTAATTCTATAAAGAACAGTAGAATCGCTGATTATGTATAAAAATAATAAAAGATTTCTAAAACAATAAATAAATATCTAATAATAATAAAATAATGTATAAAATTTTATGGTCTTGTCTGAAAAAAGCAGTAAAAAATATTTGATTTAATAATATTTATTTTATAGACAAAAAGAATAACTCCGTAATCTAATAATAAAAAATGTAGTACCATTTGCTAAAATTCATTTAAACTGTTGAATCAGACATTGAAAAATGGCTTTATTATAAAGTGGACTTACTTATGGATGTATTTATGTTTCAACAAAATACAATGGAAACACTTTCAGTCAATTGTAATCGAACATACATCCATTATGAAGTACACTCACTAAGCAGATATATATTAATCATAGTGGACAGCAGCATTTGTACCAATTCACAGCTCTAAAAACGATGGAAAAAAGAAACAGTCTAAATGCCAGCTAATAGCACTAACAGAAAAATTTTGAAAAAAGAAAATACAATATAGAAAAATTGTGCCCATTGTAGAACATTGTTTCTTCACCTACAGAAGTACTGCGAAAGGGAGAAATATTTAGAAATATTTAATGTATTTAACAAGGATCAGTAGAATATTCAATAGTTTCGATTCGATAGACCGAATAATAATATAAAGCCAAAGAAATGACGTTAAATATCATTTGTATTATTGGCGTGGACTAGCGGTTGAGAAAGACTATACTAGAGCATTAAAGAATATTTTCAACATCATTAACTGAAGTAACAACAACTGAAACATGTTGGGTCCAATGCAGAACATATTTTAATGTTTGACATTATAAAATGTCTATGCTGAAAGGTGTTTTGACATTATGTTATGTGGGGCTCCATAGCACAATGTTTGGGTTCGATATTAAGTTTTTCATTTTAGTGGTATTTTTAAATTTCAAAAATTATTCTGAGATTAAGAAAACTTTTGTGTTAATTAGAACGTGATAATGTTGAACTTAATACTGAAAATAATTTTATTAATAAATATTAAATTCTTATTAATGTAAGAACAATGTTAATATTTATTTCTGATTACATATAGTGTGGACGTGAGCCTATTCCGTACGGAAAAAAATAATTATAATGAATTAAGATTTAAAAGTTGATTATGTGTGTACTACGGAACAATCAGTCGAGGAATAAGTAATAAATTATAAATAGTATAATCACAGAAACAAATTAAAATTTTTACCGAACAATATTGTATAAAGTATTATTACAAATATATATAAAAAAAAAAAACATTCAAGGGGTTTAGGGAAGTGCAATGACATATATTTTGTGGCCGAATTACTCTGCAACTACTCAAAACCTTGTTTTGCTCTATTTAAAATGAGTCAGTTGACGAACGAGTCGCACGCTGCACTAACTTCTTCATCTTTTTATGAAAAAAGTCTTGGTTGAGTGCTTCATATACTATGGTCCGAAAAGAGTCGCGACCATCGACCGTCTGACTTTTCTAAATTTACACAAACGATAGTGCTCGAATTGTTGTGTTCATTCGAATGACTAAATTTTTATGAGACTTCTATTTTATAAAGATACTTCGATCATTTTAATTGTTAACGAATTACTATATTGTGGAATCTTCCCTCTTTTATAAAACAATACTTAGCAAATTGATCGCGTTTGTATGAGAGAAAGACCTTTGCTCTATCGATTACAGTTTGATTTTTGAAGTTCGATGAAATCTTACCGTTGTTGAAACTTTTTAGATTATTCTTTACATTATTCGAATTTCATTCAACCTAATTATTAAATTTTCGGAGTGCTTTTGATGCAGATGCAATTCGTTTTTCCGATCACCACTATCAGTTTCGTTTTAGCGTGCTATGGTACCAGACACGAAAATTTATCTACATTGAGTCGTTTGAGGATTCTATCAATAGTAAAATATGGTTTCCAATCAAAAAAGCGAGTTCATAGTATAATATATCTGATTTCTATCACAAATAAAATGTTTTTTCAAAAACAATAGTATCAGCTGTGATTATAGGAAATATCGCTACAGTGTTTACATCAGTTTAGCAGTCTGAGAAGCAGTCTGAGTTTGTTATCTGCAGATCAATTTGGCCACTCTATATTATTTATGAATAGATGTAATACGCTTTCGATATTTACTTGTAAACATAATTAATACAACAAAAATATTAATAGATTAAGTTTAATATAAAATAACGATATATCTAATGATACTATTAGAGTTTGGTGAATTGATAAAATGTTATCAGCTGTGTGTGGTGGATAAATTAAGGCAATAAAATTAATTAACAAAACATTTTCTCAGCGATTTCTATTTTTTATTGTTATTTTCTTTATTAATTTCAAAAAAAAAAAAAAAAAAAAAAGAGAAGATATTTTCTTCTAAACAGAAAAAAGGAATTATCTATTGCAGTACGCTGTACGATACCACAAGTAAAGACTATATATGCTTATTGTAATTTTTCTTAATTAATAAAACAACAATATTATTTAAAATAATTTGGCTGGATTTTTTTGTTTTATTTGATTTTAAATTTTATTATTACTTAGATTCATTCAAATTTATTCCATTTTTTTTACCTTATTGTATATCATTGGTTTTACTTTTTTTATTTTTATTGTATTTTATTTATTATAATTTTATTTTAAATTTATTTTTCGATTTGTTTATTAAAATGGTTTTTTATATATTTTTAATCTGGCTGAAGGTCTCTTCTAGTTAAATAATTAAACGTTTCGTCTATATTGTTCTATCGTCTATATTGTAGAATATAGATATATATGTTGTACAATATAGACGATATAATACTGTACAATATAGATGATAGAATAAAGACGATGACGTATTGTAGTCCTAATGATGACTCCCAAGGAGATTCGAAATATGTAGTATAATAAAAAATTTTAAACGTTTAATTTCTGTATTTTATTTCAATTTACTTTATTTCAATTTACTTAATTTTATTTTATTTAATGTAGCATTCTTTTAGTTTTTAAGATATTTTTTAAATAATTTGATTTTTATAAAAATTTGTTTTCTTAATTTATTTTATTACATCATTTATACTATTTTTTATTATTTTAAATTGTTATTTCATTTTATTATTTTTTTTTATTTTATGATATTGTTTATATATGTATAGTACATATTTTTTTTTATTTACTTTGATTGTTTACTCTGTTGCGTATCGTTTAACTGGCAGAGAAAAGAATAAAGATTCGATTTTGATTATTAAGTTAATAAAGAATTAACAATTTTTTCTTCATCGAAATTTGTTGTATGTCTAAAACCAATCATTATTATAAAATTATATAATCACTGTATTATAGTATTAAATAATAATAAAGTCTGCCTAAAAGCACTAATGAATGCATAATATGTATAAACTAACATGATATTTTTACTATGATTTTAATTTTTTTTATTATAATATAATATTTTAAAATTGCATAACTAAAAATTTTAAATTACCTAATTTAAAAAAAAACTAGCACATGATGCAGACAAGGTCAAAACTATTGAAATTGGGTTTTTTTTTGTAAAAATCAATAAAAAAAAATAAATATGTCAAGTTGATTATAATATAAATTTTGATGCAGTTCATTTATTATTTATATGTAAAAATTAATTTTGCTCAGCTTCAATCAAATTTTAATTATAATTTAAATTGAATTAATTTATTTTTTTTTTTAATGCAAGTGCACATGCAATTCCCTTTGTTTTGTTTTTGGCGTTCGCACTTAAATCGATAAACGGTGCTATAAATTTGATTACTTAATACTTTCGCACTTTCAAAACATTTCGATTTTGTTTGATATTTTTTTAAATATCTTAAATTAGCTTTAAATTTTTTTTTTATCTTTCATTAGCAACGTTACACAAATTGTCACAGAAATCAATCACATTTTGCTAATATTTCTAACACTGTTTGCTTTGAATTGTTGTAGCACATTTTTCGAATATCAAGGGTAACAGCGTAATGAATGTGTAAAGAAAAAAATTATAAAAATACGTAAAAAGCCATCGTGGTCGTTATATCATCTCACATTGCCCCCAGCGCCTAAGACAAACCCTCCACAGACACGGGAATATGTGTACGTGTACAAAACAATTCTTTTGCGTGGTGTATTTTTTTGTTTTTTTTTTGTGTACATGTATGTATGTTTGTAAGTGGCTCAGCTGTGGGTGGCGTTTGAATTAGTGTGGTGGGTTGTTTTTATACACTTATTTATAACTGCTCAACCCACCACTGTGGCACGTTATTCTGCGGTCAATGCTTTTGTTCAAAAAACGGTAACAACAACACTAACAACAAAAAAATTTTATTCACACATTTAGTAAAAAGTTTTCCGTATTATACAAGTGAAGAGTTAACAGCTGCAGGATCAAAACGAAACTGTTGACATATAAGCAGAGGCATCAGCTTTATATTTAGCAAATTTTGACATATCTCACGCATGTCAAATGCCACTCATTGGCATTTATTTACGGTATTTATAGCTACGGTATTGTGAATACAGTGGATGTCTGGATTAAAAACCAAAAACGGTAGAATAAAGTTGACAAAACAAGAAAGCATTAATAGATACAAAATTTTCAATCTTAAAAATTTTGTTACCAGTGCTGTAGTAACTCGGCTTACATGTTACATCTAGCTTATTAATGTTATATATAAAACGAACTCCATATTTTGATGAAAATTCAAACCTGGATAATTATTTTGATAAGTCGTTTTTCTTCGTTATCATTTTTTCGACCATATATTAAAGTTACGTCTCTGTTCTTTTATATTTTGTACTTGTCATGCGTTATAAGTATCATGCTGATTTTATAAATAAACTGACAATCTATATAATAAATATTTTTGAACTCACCAAATTGTATATGTAGTATAGCGTCTACAAATCCACATAATATTTCTTGTTGATGTTTAGAGCGTTCGCGTTGTACTAACGCTTGCTCCAAACAATAGCCCATCAAAATCACTTTCACGTTAAGTATAGCGACCGTATCAATCAGAGTGGGCACATTTTGCCTCTTTAAGCTTTTCATATTTTGTCGCAAATCCATTGCTATATCTGTTATATCTTCTAACTGGTGAAGCCTCCGTAAATTTCTTGAGCTCTTACTTGTCTCTGCTTGCTTCTTACTGTAAATGTCCCACAATAAAGCACTCAACAGTTGTTTTACTGTACTGCTAAATAAAAATTTCAAGTAACCATTGTTTTTTAAATTAAAATATTTTTTTTCAAGCTTAATTTATTGTTTTTTTAGTTTCGATAAGAATTTGTGCTTACCCCATTTTAAAGCTTCAGTGGTTTTGTACTTAGAATTGAAGTTAATACTACCTTATGAATAGAATTAAAATAATTATCACTTAATTTTATTAGAGGATTACGGGTTTCAAACGAATTTTGTTTAAAACTTTTTATATTAAAAATATAACAAATCTTTTTTAAATAATTGTAGAAAATTTCATTAATTATTTTAAAGTTATTTTTTTTTATTAATATGTATATTACTTGAAATCTACGATTTCTTCTTAGATAACAGCTAATCATAACTATCCAATAAATTGTGTTTGAACGAGTTTTATTGGAAAAATAATTAAATTTGGGTTTAGCGTGAAAACTCTAAAATCTAAATATTAGAATATTGAAGTCCCTTACAGACGTCAAACTTTATTATTAATTTCAATTGAAGTAAGTGATTTTTAATATGGTTTGAGCAACGACTAGAGGTTAAATTATAATGTTTTGAAGTATACATATCTAAATACCACTATTTATATTGTCAACGTATAACACTGTGTCTACACTGACTTTGACAAGATTTTTATACACATTCCCGCGTTTTTCACTAACAAACACAAATTTTTGAATCCCGACAAAGTTCGAAAATGATACGTATTTAGCCAGTGTAGACGTCTAGTAAGGTGAATGGATCGAATGCAACGAGTATCGTTACGTGTTTGCAGATAAGGAACATATTTTAGAAGTAATGATTTATATATTTATAAAGTAGTAATTTTCTGAGAGAAGATCTCGTTAATGTAAAAAAATTTAAAAGATTGTTGGATTCATTTTGTTAGATCTAGAAAGTGGAGATCTTTATTTAATTTCTAGAGGTCATTAGTATGTATATTAAGAATGATAGTACAGAGGTATTGTTTCTTCAATTAATAACTAAGCACATATACTGACAGAGAGGATAGAACTCTTAAAATGTATAACTTTATATAAAACGAACTTAAGTGTTCTATGAAAATAAATATTCATCAAAATTCAGTAGTTGTTTAATATTCTAAGAAAACTTTCTTCATGAGGATTTAAATCTAAAGCTAATTCAGAAAGACACATTAGTACTAATCTTAGTACTTATATTTATTTATACCAAAACTTTCTAGTATTTTGTACAAACATTTGCGTAGTACTTACTGTATGAATCTATTGTAGACAATCCTATAATATAAGATAGGAGGAATTGCTGCTTTTAAGATAACGTATATCTTAAGAGCATCTTGTGTAATCCTTATTAAAATACTTTGCATAACCTCTTTAAATTATTCCAATTTATATTTCATTATACGTAACGATGTTTTCGGGGACGAGACTTCCGATGAGTTTACTGCTCGGTAAAAAAAAAACAAACTTATATGACTCTTTTAATATACTACTTTGTCAGTCGGTTGACTTTTTTTTAAGTAAAATAAATAATACACTATGTTTAGCAGATTAATATATTGTTATATATTATAATTGTAGAAACATATCAATTTTTATTTAGACAACAAATTTTAAAACAAAATATATATGTATTTACAGCAAGTAACCCATCAATACTCAATTCAAAATTTGAACTCTCAGAGGGTCGCTACATAGATTAAGCATCAGTAGTAGTTACGATCAGGATTAGTGTTGAGAGAAAAGTTGCGATACATTCCAAAGCGACTAGCAAAGTTGGTAAATTTCTGCGACAATGGAAAATGACTATAAGGAACGGTAAAATGATTTGGTGGAAAGTAACCATATTCACTGTTACTGGTACGGTACAAAGGATCTGCGTACTGCTCCTTATCAATACCATAGTTGGCGTAGTAAACTACAACACAGATTTATAAATATTTTTTATATTTTTCTAAAAATATATTGACTAACTTACTGCAATCTTTAGCACATCCTTCAACAGTGAATTTATCATATTGAGCTCTGCGATTCACAGTGGATTTGTTTTTAAAAAACTTCGCATACTCCTCCTCGAAGTTTGCACCCTTCAGACTATCGCAAAAGTTCTCACACATTTTACCAAAGTTTAATTAGACAATTTTTGTTAACCTTCTGATCGAGAAAAAATTTTATTCTGTTTTATATAAAATTTTTAATAAAGTCATTACTTTATATTGATAAAATGTTTAAAAATTTCCATGGCAACTTCAATGTAGAGCTATTTGAATTGTAAATAGTAACGTATTTAAATAGAATGCTTACGTTATTAAGTTAACGTTACGTTTGTAACGTTACTCTAAATAATAAATAAATAATTCTGGAGCATGCGTGCTCTTTCAGATTATTGATTTTTGATATTTAACTTTTACTTTAGTTGACTTTCTCGCTTTGGGTGCACAAATTGTTTAGGAATTGATGAGATATTATTGAAATTTATTATATTATAAAAATAATTATTAATAAAAAATATATTTTTGTATAACAAACATCGAAATATAAGTGTTTTGAAGAAAAAGAAATGTGTAAATTATCAAATTTTGTGAATTTTATTATCTGCATTGCGACATTTAGTCAAACCTTGGATTCTGGTATGGCTATTAAACGTGGGCCTCATCATCCACGTAGTGAACAGTCAAAGACACGAAGAGTTGATCAACATTTAACTCATGAGGAACAGTGAGTACTGATTTATCCATTATATGAAATTAGTCTTCTTGAATAATGAATTTACATATAACATATTTTAGTCGCATTGAGGATGATTTGAAAGAAATGGGCATAAGTGTGAATCCAGAAGAAATGACTGAAGAAGAAAAGAATTTTTACTATTTTAAGGTAAAGATATATTGTATTTGTAAGTAAATTTTAATTAAAAAAAAGTAGAATAACATAACTAAGTGAATTTAAAATTAAAAAAAGGGTTTGGCTCGCATGTAAAGGAATGTAATATATAACATACTATATAAGTACAAGTGCATTAAATTGTTATTTTAATTGAAATATTTTAAACATTAGATACATTTTAAGAGAATGAAATCATCAGTGCTAAAACAGTATAATGTTTTATGTGTATCTTTAATATTATTAAAGGCTAAAATATTGATAAGTTTCTTCTAGAGTAGTTTTGCTTAGATCTGGAATTTTTTTCGCAAAATGTTGAATATCTTTTTCTAATCATAAATAAATAATATAAAAAATAACGTCATTAGTTATCAGAGGATTCGAATAACATTACATTTTTCAATTAAACAGTTATTTACGTCTTGAAAATTCAATTTACTGCATCTATCTCTGGATAATTCTTCCGTTGGTTCTTTTACAGAAAGGCGAACATTCTGCACACATATTTTGCTCTTTAATCAAGACAATACATTTCGTAAATATTGATAAATTGGGCAAGGAACTGCTATCCTATTAAGTTTCTCTAGATTATCTATTAACTAGATTATTCTCTAGATTATTCATATCCCTATTTTTTTCTGTTCATTAACTATTTTCTGTTTATGAACCTACAGATATGTCTCGGCAGGAAAAAGTTTGGGTAAAATGAAGTAAATGTTTCATCACTGAAACAAATGCCTGTTTTAAGAACCTTGACAAAACTTATAATTTGAAAGGCATTTGTAAAAACGTTAGTCTAAATATATTGAGTTAAAAGCAGACACTGAAAGTCACTAAGTTGTCACCGATAAATAAGATTTATAAAAATTTTTATAAACATTGACTAAAAAAACAATAAATGTTATAATAATCAATAAAATTTATTTTAATCTTTTTACAGATTCATGACAGTGATAATAACAACGCATTGGATGGCTTAGAGATGTTACAAGCAGCTATGCATCAGGATGATAGCTTTAAGAGAATAGATAGAGATAACTATTTACAAAACACCAGCGATGAATTAAATCACATAATTGGTAAATTATTTAAGTTTTTATATAATTTCAATATAATGCAAGAAAAGATCTTACCGATTCTAGAGGTCATTGATGAGTTCCTGCAAATAGCGGATGAAAATAAAGATGGATTTCTACATTATCCGGAATATGTGAAAGCAGTTGCCGGTGCGCCGGAGCCATTTTAAATAAAAGTGCATTATAACTTTTTCTTAATAACAATTTTTAAAGTATATTTAATATATATATTTTTAATAGTTTACGCGTTAGCTAATTTAAACAAATATACAAACACACAAGCAAAATGCCAAATAACATTACTAATAAATAAATAGTTAAATTGTTTTTCTTTTTTATTCTCACATAAACATTTTTTATTACAATACAACGTAACTTATTAAGACTGTAAATACTCAAAATTATAATAAAATAGTTAAAAATTATTTAAATAATTTATAAATTTGTATTTAACTTATTAGTAAATTTCTAATGAAATAAAATTGCTCACAATGCTATAGTAAATTTAATTTTTTTCTTTTATTTATTCTTAAATATATTTTTTATTTAAAATAAAATTATATTATTTTTTTATCATTATATTTAGAAAAAAATTATTTTATAATTTAATATTTAAATCTTCAGAGTAGCCCATCGCATTTAAAAGTCGTATTACAGGGTACTCCACGGTAACCATCGTGGGCTGCTTTTTCCACTAATACAAGAAGATCGTTATAACGTGGATTACTAAAAGAATTACTGTAAAATGTAAAAAAAGTAAATTTATTAGTAAATTAATCGTTAATTAATTAAGAATTATTTTTTGTCAATTCTGTTAAGTTGATTGCCAAGTGGAATACTATAACTTTGATTTATTTTCAGCTACAAAATATAATACTATCAAAAGATTGAAGATTCGGCAAAATTGCTGTAAATGATTTTATTTTAAGTAATTTATTTTATTTTATTTAACACGAAATTTGAAATGTTTCAAAAAGATGAGCAAATGTGTATAATTAACTTAACATTTAACTTTATATTTTATAGTGGTCTATCCAATACATTATAAAAAAATATATTTACGTATATGTTATTAATACCCACTTTTCAAACTTTTTAATGCCTTCCATTAAGGCTTTGGCTGCTTTTGCATACTCATATGCTACTTTCGGACTCTCACATGCAGCTGCATAAAGGCAATCATCTATTCCAGCCCCTTGAGCTGCCAGAAATCCAGTAATAAGATATGCTTCACCTTCATTGAGACCATATTCATATACTTCATAATCCAATATAAAATGAAAGCAAATGTAATATAAAAGAAAACTTTAATATTTTAAAATAATTTTATAATTACCATCACTGCTTCTATCAATAGAACGTCCATAGCCGTAACCATAACCGCCCCAATGACCAGCGCCCAACATACCAGCAGCAAATATTAGAATCTTTAGTAGTATTATTATCAGTAAGTTTGTGAGATTCAAACTTAGAACCTATATATAAAGAAAATTAATACTTTTGTTCACATATATTTATATAGTATATAGATATAAGACATACTAAGAAATTGTAAAAAAGTGATTCCATATATTTTTAAACCAGAGAAGGTGAAATTGTTGATTTAATGGATACCATATAAATCCTTATATATAATATATATATTGACGCAATAAAATTACTTATTTATATGCATATATATCTTTAGCTTCTCTGTATGGTAAAAATCTACTGTCTAACTAACAAAGCTAATCGAATAATATTTTATAAGCAGATTCTTAACAGATCTCTCTAAGTGAAATTGAAATCTAAAAAAAATTGTTACCAATATCATAAAGTGACTATAATGTATAACTACCGCTATCTTAAAAAGTCAAATCAAAATTTTTTTATCCTTCATTCATTCTTGGTACTTAGTACTGAGTAAAGAATAATCTGACGTACTTTAAAATTGAAATTTATCTGGATATCTATATTTATGGTAGTTTTCAGTCAGTATCTGATATACTTTCAAATTCAAATTTTAGATTAATCACACAAAATGTGTGTTCTTAGATATATGTTATACGGTATTTGGATACCTATATCTAGCGTAGTTTTTACTCAGTATGCATTCATTACATCGATGATCTTTTAATTTAAGACACTCTCCTGCTCTGCATTACTTAGAGTTAGGCTACAACTTTTGCCTACTCTAATTTTTTACAGTGTAATAAGTTTCGTAGTCAAATGATAATTAATCATTTTTACTTCAAAATTTTACGAGGAACCGTGTAATCAAATAAGATTGCCTGATTGAGTAGTTGTATTAATATTTTTTTAAAGGATTAATGTATTGCAAGGGATATTCAATAAGTTTATTTCTTGTATATTACGGCAAAATTTTAAACTTTAGACTACTAATTTTTTAATAACACATTAACAAAATAAAGTAATAGAATTATTTAAAATATTTGATAAATTTAAATTAATTATTTTTTTCGTCATTTGCATACTTGGCTGTTTCCAGCTGAACGATTTATTAGTTCTTTAGCCATTTGTACAGCAACATGTCCTGCTGGACTGGAAACAATATTTTGAACTCCTTTTAGCCAAGTAAATGGCTTTTCCATTATTTCATTTTCACTTGAATTATTCACTTCGTAAGCTGTTATTTCACTCATAGCCTGATGAGCAGCAAAAACCAATAGAACATAAACAGTAAACCGACACATTATATATATATATGTACTATGTTATCTATGATGGATACAATAATATTCTAAATTTTTCAAATTATTAATATACTTTATATTAATATTTAATATTTGATTAATATGCCTTTGAAAACACTCGAATTTTGCGTGATTTGTGATGTGCCGATACCGAATGTTGACTAATTTTTATTACAAGGTAATGCGTTTTTTATACCAAAATAAAGTGTAGTAGCTTAATACTCATACTATTGGTTAAGGAAATCAGGAATGTAATTTAAGATACACCGTTCACATGCATTTTACCTGCATTGTCGCATTGTTAGCATAAAATTTGCCATAATTTTGCAGGCTTCGCTGGGCACGCAAGCAAAAGTGCAAGTGAGCCAAAAATGTTTAACTGCAGATAAATTACCTGAAAGTGCAAGTGCATTTCTTTCAAAAATTTCTGTAATATTTTCATAGTCAATTACGAACGCAGGCAATTGTGCATTTAAGTGATATAAATATCTTAAAATTATTTGTTATGAATGCCAACTGACAAAATAAGCAACAATTAAGCGTCGATGAAAATAAATAAAAATTTCTGCTTCAAGGATTCCATTAAAATGTTTACAAAACGTCAGGTAAACGTACTCAAAGTTGTTGGAAGGAAATGTTTTGTTGATATTAGTAAAAACGACAAAATAAATCAAATTAATCTACAGAATTAACCAAAAAAAATTTTTTTTCATGTAATGAGATAACTGTTAAAATTGCACAGAAAAAAAATTTTATAATAATTTAATAATATTATACTATAAAGAGATTTTTTGGAACAGTAGTGAACTACAACAACAAAAATTTTATTTTTTTTAAATATTATTTTAATTAATTAAATTTTTGGCTGACCATATAGTTGTTTCGAGTATTGCCAAATACCCATCATCAGTGGTCTTGGAAATAATTCTTGTATTTAATTATTCGTAAATAATTAAACTACCAGGAATCGAACTCGGGTCGTGCTAAATGCGAAGCTCAGAATCAGCGCACCTGATTCTGGCCCTGCATATTTTTCTGGAGTTTTGTTACTTTTGCTGTGATAGTTTTTATTAACAATTTTACTTGCTGTGTTTACACTAAACCGAAATCATAAACCAGCTGTAGAATAATTGAATTAATTAATTAATTATATTTTTTATTTTTAATTGTTAAATTTTAATACTATTCTGTTCGTAGAGGCATTATTTGTTGCTTGATTTGTTCTTTCTTATGTATAGAACCTAATCTAGAAACGTAATGCTGAGAAAGTCATGCACGGGCGAGACCAATATTTTGTTAATATAAGTTGTAATTTAACGTCAAATTTTCCAGACGAGAATGACTATTATATTTTAATAGAAACTTATTATATTTCATAAATATTATTATATATCATAATATTATAAATATCATAATAAGATTATATTATTATTATATATTATCATATTTCATAATATTATATTTGTATATTTCCTTCAGTTAAATATTGGTTAAATTGCAATATAGTTGTATTCACATATTAAACATAATTCAATTTGTTAAAATGATTGGTTCTTAACAACACTAAAGATCAAAAAACTTTAAAAAGGTCCATTCAATCCATTTCTGGTTGCAGTGCATAAAGGTTTTTTGATCCTACCCTGTTTTGCAATCCACACAATAAATATATAATATTAGTGTCTAAATAAATTGAATAATAAACTAATATAATATCCAAGAAAAAAAATATTCATCACTTATATATGTTTATATAAAATCAAAGTATAAATAGGTACCATTCAGAGTAGGTTCCTGCAAAATATTAAATTAAGATAATATTCAAGAAAAATATCCATCAATTATATATGTTTACATAAACTTAAAAAAACAATATGTTCTCAAAATTGATTAGAATTACAAATATTTTGGAAACAGAACTATGATTATATATTAAAGCACAAATCATCTCATTAAACACCCAAAAAGTTATTTTAGGAGTCTCACTATATTTTCTTAATTATACTCTTTATATTTTTTGTGTTGTTCTTATTGTTTATGGATTAGATTATGGAGTTTTGCCTAGATTGTATAACAAAAGATTAAAAACTTGTAGTTCGGTTTCTACTGAAAGTGCTAACAGACTCCTATATTTTTGAGCAGATGTTTCAATGGTATATCGACAAGTTGAAAAGTAAGTGACCGTCAATCACGATCTATGTCTCTGTTGAAAACTACAGACAACGCAACCTCATTGTTTGGTAGATTGGTTCCTCACAAGCCTGCTTCAACCTTATTCCAATAAACTGACTGTGCAGGAGTTGCTAAGAATAGGAATAAGTGGAGTTCATCAATCACTTCCCATGTCTCTATTTAGAACTACGGACAAAGCAACTTCATTGTCTAATAGATTGTTTTTTTACAAGCCTAACTTGATATGAAGGACCAAATAGTTTAACAAGCATACCACAAAGAGTTATCGTAGATTTCGAGTAGTTTCGCACCTTCTCAAACTTGAGACCATTAATATAAGTAATATTTGTCTCTGATTGGATCGTTAATATAAGTTGATACTTGCATTAATGTTCGAAATTTTTGTTTCCATTGTAATTAGGTATATGTAATTATATAATATATATAATATATTATTAAGAAAATTTTGAAGAAACAGGCTTTTTTGGAAATGTTTAAAAACTTATTATCTGTATTATGTTTTATAAGTTTTATTACTCTCTAAAATTTTTAGGCGAACATCGTCACATTCATGACGTCTTGATTAAAATAATTAAAATAAAAACGGAATTTGGTGTGTTCAAAAAATATTATTTAATTATATTAATCACACAGAATCGGACGATTTAAAACATTGTCACAACATATAAATGTCGTCATACATATAAATGTCGTCATACATATAAATGTCAGTCATACATATGTGCCATTAAATATGACGAAATTGTGAACGACATACATAATTATTCACTAACAAATAAATATATGCAATTAAAATAAATACCACTATACAAAAATAACGCCAAAAAATTCATAGAATGCACAACTGATTTATTTATGACTATTAAAAACTTGTCATATAAGTCAAGTAATCGTCACACTTTAAATTGCATGACAACAATAAGACTATGACGGTCATACTCGTATATATATGACACCACTACTCTCAAGTTCTCAAATATAATCTTTTTGAGATTTGTATTGAACAGTCTACGGTTCTTGATGTGTCGGAGTGATCAAAGTCTATAGTGTCGCATAAACTGAATGACGTCACTCAGACGGCAAGTAGATAAAAAGATAATTTTGTACAATACTGTTAACAGATGAAAGAGTTTTTCTTTAAAGAATACATAACTAAATATTTTAGGAATATTTTAAGAATATTTAATATCGATTTAAAAAGAATAAATGGAATAATGTAGGAGTTTTCCATTTAAGAAACGATATTTTTCTTCAACTTAACTCTTTTAATGTGCTTTATATTTTGTTTAATTTATAAAGCAATTAAATTAAAAAATATGTTAATTAATTAAAATTTGATTAATTATTTAAATATTAAATGAAAGACATATATTTGCATCCATTTTAAAAATGTAATATTTTTATAATTTTATTTTGTTTTTCATCAACTCATTATTGTATCCTTTAATAATTATACTCATATTCATAAATATGTATAAATGTGCGTATATTATATACGCTTAATTACATACAACACATACATAATACAATACAATAGATAAATATTTACTTTTAATAATTTTACTCACACTTTATTGTTAAATATGAATTTTAGTATGAATTTTTATAATAATTTTGTATATATTGTTCAGCATTTTATTGATGTATCACTCATTTACGAGTGATATTCATTTACGAGTGCTACTCATTTACGAGTGTTTAAAATGAGTATTAATTGCCTTAATATGTGATTGAGTGAATTAGTGAATGATTTATATTAGTGATATATGCAAATTTATATATGTATATATAAATAAGATTTTAACAGTTATATTACTTGTGTTAATTTAACATAAAATTTATGATATATGTAATTTCAATATGCTATAATTTGTGGGCGTGTTTACACTGATGATATTTATTTAATGCTATGTTATATATATAATTTTGCTATATTTTTGTAACTCTTACTTAAAAATTAATCATTTAAATAGAACTGTATTGCATTAATTATAATTAAGGTAAATGAATTATATGTTTTTGTTACAATTTGATAATTATTTATTTGTTTTGTTGGGTTTGTTTTCTTTGTTCATTATTAGCATATAGTTTTTATTTGTATATATATTGTATTAAACACTAGAAGTGCATTATTTAGTATACGTTTATCTACTTGAGATTAAAATTAGTTTCCAATTTTCCATTTTTATATATAATTTTGTATTTTTAATTTTAAATAACATTAGCCAAAATCTCACAACAGTTAATAATCAATTTAATAGTTTAAATAAAGAATTTTATTTTTTTTTATATATGTTATTTACTTTCATATTATTTGTAATAATTGCATATAACGACTTTTTAATATAAGTAATTAAGTTTGTATGTTCATAGCTAATTGAAATATGCTTATGCACAACCAAAATTTACTAATGAAGAAGAAAAACTATTATTTTATATATTTAAAAATTTGACTATTTTACTTAGATTAATTTTTAAAAATTGTACTAATTTTCAAAATTAAAATATATTAATTTATTTTATTTTATTTTATTTAAAAACATGGAATAAAAATGATATAACATTTTTGTATATATTGTATATTGTTATGTATAATTATCTATAAGGAGCAATTATCTCGTTAGACATGTGCGTTTCTTAATATCTTAACAGCTCCTTTCGAACATAAATTTAAATAATACTATTTTTTTTATGCATTCAATTTCCTTTCTTTTATTTGTATTTTAAGCAAATTGTTACATTTATATCTATATTATTGAGTAATTTAACAATAAATTATATGATTTCCATAGCGAAATGAGTGAAAAGCCAATATCTGTTTGAGTTCGTTGTTGCCGATATTGCAATTTCCATAACTTCTCAAACATACATTAACGTTTTTTAATTGTTTTTAAAAACTTACTCAAAATTTTTATTTATTTAAACTTAACGTAACATTGCTTGCATTAACTTTTTAATTATATTTTACTATTTAAGATTTTATTTTTTATAATTTTTCTATAAATTGCATATTTAAAACAATAAATGAATGGAGCTAATAATATTTCAAGAACTGTTAGTTAAGTTTGTAGTTATAATAATTTTAATATATTAGTAATATTAATAATAATCATAATAATAATTTTATAACTATGTATAATATTTATATATATATAATTATAATTTTTTTAAATATAAATTTATAATAAATTTTTATAATTGTTGTTGTTTTCGTATATTGTCATATAAATTTTTACAAATTTTTTTCTCATCAAAATTTGTCTTCATTTCAATTTTGTTTTTTAGTGTGTCTCATGTTGGAATAACAATATATAATAATAATTTTTATATATATGTATATATTATATATATATATTAAATAGTTTTGTAGCATTTAATAACATTTAATAATATTATTTTATTATAATCTTTAACTCCATTTAGTTTTTAATTAAAATCGAAATTTTTTCGCAACATATATTTAAAAAAGTTTCTTCTTTATAAATATTTCAAAAACTTTAAAATTTATCATAAAATTTAAACAGTCCAGTTTTTTTTACCAATCTTCTAATGTTTTATTATTATTTTATTTTAATTTTTGCTAAAATGTTTATTGTTTGGTTTTGGTGGTTGTTGTTCTAAAAATCTATTTTTGTGTTGCTATACTATAGTTTATAGTTTCCAAAGTTTAAAATTATTTTAATAATATATAATTACTTTATTTTAAAAGAAAATATTTTCCAAAATTTGTCACAAAACAAGGTTTTCTAACAAATTCGAATATATTATATAGTAATTTCAATTTGAATTTATAAATTAAATAAGACAAATATAAATAAAAAAAAAATTTTTAACTAAATACTTTAAAAATAAATGGTAAATAATCAAAAATATTTTAAATTAATACACCTAAAAAAATAAATAAATAATAAATAAACAAAAAGAAACAAATAAAAATATTTAAATTAAAAAAAAATAAAAAAAATAACGTAAAATTTTATTATATTTGTCAAAAAATAATACAATTATGTACTATATATAATATATAATTATATAGAAAAAGTTAAATTAATAATATAAAACAAATTTTAAATTAATGAAATAAAATAATATAATAAAATAATAAAAGTTAAAAACGTAAAAAGGAATTGTTATATAAAACATATAATAAAATATCTATTAATTTATTTAATATTTGTATTGTTATAGATATCTATTAATCTATTTATTGGTATGAAATCAATATGATTCTAAAAAACTGTTTTATAACAACAAAGTAAGCAGAATATAATAAAATATAATAAAATATAATAATATAATTAGACAAACAATTAAATAATTAAATATTGAATATAAACAATAACAATAATAATCTTTTAAATATATAAAATAATTATTAAAATTTCAGTTTCAACTAAATATAATATATATAAGCTACTTTAAATAAATAAACGTATGCTAACATTTTTAATTAATTAATTTATATTAATTAATATCTGAAATAATTACGTTAAACATAGATAGTTTAACACATAAATTGCGTGCAGTAACTAGCTCTATTTATTAACTACATATATGCTCTTAACATTTTTATATTTGTTATTATATATATATGTACTTCTTTATATATATTATATTTGTATTTATATATATTTATATATATATCGCAGATAAAATTAACAAATAAATTAATAAAGTGGCATGAAAATTGTTTTAGGATTTTCATGAAACCAGGAAACTTCAGAGGCGATTATATGAGTATGATTTCATGTTAGCTTTAGTGTTTATGTTTATGTTTATGAATAACAGATTCTTGTTTTTATTTTTGTTAAATATAAATTTGTTGAATGTACTTATGAATTAGTAAAATATATATATTAATAATATAATAATGAATAACTTTCATATAACAAGCATTTTAAATTTACTTTAAATCCAATTCATCATCTTCCTCGTGTGTTTTGCTCCAACGATTGGAAGATGCGATGCTGCTATTACTGCTTGTGGTATTGGTTTTGTTAGTTTGTGCATCGCTAAAATCTGAGAAGGCTGGATTCTGTATGCCGTCATAGATTTTATAGGAAGTTCCACTGTTGCTGTTTGCACTGGAACGATCAGATGTTACACTCATACTTTTTGAAGCGCCGAAACGTTCATTTTTGTAATTTGTTGGTCCACCGAATATAAGTTCAGCATCCGATAGTGAACCACCTGAGCGAGTGTATTTGCCATTGCCGTATGTGGGTTTATTATCACCGAATATTATATCCAAATCAGATACTTTATTCGAAGCTATAAATGATATTTGAAAAATGATCAGTTTTCTATTTTAAATAATTATAATGTATATTAAATTATAATAAAGGTGAATTGCAGTTTTATTTTTTAAAAAGTGCAAATTACGCTTTAAAAAATATTCAATATATTACACATTATAAATAGATATTTGTTTATTATAATAAGCCATTCTAAAAATACTTTGCCAATAACACTGAATGATGATAATGAAATGAGTTATCAAAATATCGTTTAATTAATAATTATATTTTTTGCTAATATTAAATTTTGATATCTCAAATATGAATGATAAGAATTATTATGTCATATGCATGATAGTAAAAATGAGTAGTAATGCATTGTTGATGAATATTGAAGTGTTCCACGATTTTAGTTGACAACGTCATTATATTATTATAAATTCTTCAATTTTATTATATTAAATATATGTATTAAAGATATATGAATTAATTATTTGTTTCTATTCTAAAAGTAATCGTGCCTATAGGTTGTATATAGGCAACTATAACCACAGTTGATATCGTTTGTTATATTAGATATTTGAATAGTAATCACAGACAAGTTTTTTTTAGTCAAACTAATAAATAATTATAGAGTAATAATAATAAAAAATGATTAAATCAATTTCAAAAAACAAAAAAATCATTTTGAAAAACTAATTCTTATTAAACTTATATAAATATCGCTAAAATAAAATGCAAAACGAGTAATTTTTAAACAGAATAGTACTTGGTGATAAAAATCGGATTGGTTACCTTAGTATTATTCAAAAACGATGTAATTTGAAAAAAGATATTATTCACGATAAACCTTTAGATTATTATTTAATCCGATGTGTATTCGTTTTTTGTCAAAGGTTGCGTATGCGTAGCATTTCGCAAAGTATCTAAATGTGTTTTAGTCACGTCCCTGAAAGTTTATAGTTATCAGGAACCACTAGTGAATAATACGGATTTTATTGTATTTAGACTGAGGAACCTGTCGTTTTTGTTGCTAAAGTGAATGAGTGTTTGGATTGACTGAGGTTTTTAGCGAAGTTGTAACTAAATAAAACAATATATATGCGTAGTTTCTAATTACTGATGCAGTATGACAAAATGATATACCGCAGAGAGGTTAGTCTTCAATATTTATTGCTGATCTGAATTAATGTTTGGATTGTCACAGTTTTTATTAGATCTTTTAAAATACTGATGCAGCCTGACAAAAGCGTGTCCTGCAACGAGTTTCAGCTCTAATAGAACAATTTTTAGATTCTATAAATATGCAGTTGTCTTTAAAGACTAGAACAATTTAGTAGATTTAAGACAAGGTGGAAAACAATAGAAAATGATCAATATTATTCACTATATACTATAATCACTTCTCCAAGCGAAGAGTTTTTGGTGAACTGTTTGGTCAACGTTTGTAATTCTTGAGATTTTTTTTATATAAAATGTTAAAGAAATTATTGATTGGTTATTATGTAGTTAAGAACACTGATTTTGGTTAGATTTTAAGGTTAATGTATAAAATTGTAATATTTATTAGTATCTTTTTAGTTAGTTTTTTTTTGTGTACAGTTGTAGTGTGTGTTTAAATTTAAATTTGATAAGAATTGAATTATTTTTTTAAATATTAACCTGAAAGAATAAAACGACTTTTGATAACACATCTGCAACACATAAACATACACAAAACATAAAAAATAAACTAAACCAGAAATTTGACAGTACATAACAAAATGGACTTTAAAAACACAATTACAAACTCAAATTAGCACTGAAATTGAAACTAAGATACTTTTTGTTTATTCTGGAAGTTCTGTGTCTGTGTAGAGTTAGAATGTTGGGTGCCCAAAAGCAAAAATATAATACAAAAAGGCGGTGAATGCTGCTGTACTGTGTTGTTGTATTAACTGAAAAACATAAAACTAATTTGTTTATTGTATATTTAGAGCGAGCGAAACTTATGACACAGTCGTACTGCGCCTTTTACTCAAATGATTACTTAGACACAGATTAAAATATAAATCGGATGCAATATTATTTAATTTCATAATTTAGTTGCGTTTTTTCTTGAGTGATTTGGTGACGTCAAAATCGAACTTACGACACAATTGCGTTCAGCGTTTCGGTGAAAAATACACACCTCAAAATGCAGTTCAAGCTTATAGTACTTAACCCGCCTGAACCTGGTTTCGCCACTATTTTTGTCTTTCATTAAATGTCTCCTCTGGTAAACTGTGGTTTATTTGTTTTCTTTTTTATGTTTTTGGATAGAAATATATATTATTATGGAACGGAGCATGGGAGTTTTTTCCATTTTCTGCTAACTCTTATAGTTACTAATTATATACTAATAGTTACTTTCTATTTGCTTACGCACTAGTAGTAGATGCAATACTTTTTAGTTTTAAGTTAAATATTAAAATTTGTAGTAGCAAAAATTTTAAAAAATACACAATATTGTATTTGGTCGTTAAAGTGTTGTAAAAATATTTTGGTTCCTCGTAGTTAGTAGTTTTGTATAAGGTAATGTAATTGGATAATGCTTAATGAGTTATTAGGAATGGAATGCATGAACGATTAAGAATATGTAATGATTAAGTTTTTCGTAGCGTAAGGCTGACCAATAGTACGCCAACGGCTAAATAATTACCATTGCTCTCGGAACGCGAATATGAGGGGCGCGTATATGATGGTAACTCAGTTGGATTGTTGTAACCATTCGAGGCAGGACTGTTTGAACCATAACCCGAAGTATCAACAATATTTGTTGGTTGAGTTGTATTAACAGCTGCAGGTGCGCTATAAACACTAGCCGAGCGTACACCCATGTTCGACTTCCAATCTATTGCGTTTGAGTTTGTTGTAGCAAATGTAGCGCTTGGGTTATTGGTAATACCAGCGCCAGCTGTGGCTGTAGTAGTAGCAGTGGTGGTTGTGTCCATGCGTGTTATAGTATCGATGGAAGTTGAACTGCCGTAATTAAAGCTTTGTTTAACTGTTGAGCTAGAACCGAAATTTGTGTTGGCAGCAGTAGACGCAGTTGGTGGTGGTGGCGGTGGTGGTCCGGTTGGTGGTGGTGGTGATTTTATGGCACTGGTACTGTTACGATTAATACGCGAAGATATAGATGAGGATGAAATTGATGAAGATGATGTAGTTGAAGAGCCACCGATGGTATTGCTTGTAACAGATGTTTTAATAGTACCCTTATCAAAGGGATTCACACGTTCTTGCGGTTCAAAGTTGGTAACAGGCTTGTCGAAATTATCTAAAACGCTGGAAGATGGTTTGCTGCTATAACTAGCAACTGAACTACCACTAGCACTGACACTAGCAGCAGTTAAAGTCGATGTTGATGACGTATCGGAGCGTGCATCAAGCGCTTGTTGTTTCTCAGTTGCTGACTTTGGTGTTGGCTGTGTTGAGACAACTTCATTTGTTGCACCCAAATTAGTTTTACCAGAAGCGAATGAGAATTGCTTGCCTAGAAACGAGCTGCCAACGCTAGCAATACCACTACCACCACTGCCAACGCCACTGCTATTGCTTGTTTCACTCACGGTTCTTCCACGTTTTTTGTTCGCTAATTCCTACATGTCACCGAATATCCCCGCAAAGGTCTTCCTTAAATTTTTCATTGTGTCCTCCGCATCCTCAACAACTGAGGTTTGAGTTTGCGGAGGACGTTGTGATGTCCTCGAAGCTGATGAAATACTGGATGCTTGTGAAGTTTGTGAATCGCGTCGCACACCAGTAGCAGCACCACTTGGCAATGCAGTTATGGATTCTTCGGGCACTTCAGAAATGCTACTGCGACTACTCAAGCGACCAATTGAACCAACAGCTGGTGAAGTGCGTTCTGGTATTGGTGGTGGACCGCCCATGGGTGCAGGTCGTGGACCAGCTGGCGCTGGTGGTGTTGACATATCATCAGTTGGACTTTCAGCACGTGACGAAACTGACGAACGTGATGGTAGTTTACCATGTGAAGTTTGTGCCATACCTGGGCGACAAACGTTCTGTAAAAATAAGTAAATTAATTAATATTTTGCTTTTTTTTTTTTAATGAAAACTTACTTGCATGCGTGAAGATACCAAATCAGCAATTTGACGTCGATCTTCCTCTTGGCTGTCGCCTATTAAAGCAAAAGTGCTATCACAAGCACTTATGATGTGCTCGCGTCCATCTTTAGCAACAACTACAGAAATTCCACACACTTCCATTCCGCCAAAGAGTTCAGAGATCTGTAAGATCAAACATTATTAATGATATCTAATTCGACATTTGGTTTTGATATATAATAAAATTATTTCAAATTTGATGATTTAAACTGTAAAGCTTAAGCATGTAATTAATAAAGTAAAATGTGTGGGTATGATTTTAATTAAGTTCGTAAGTCGCAATTAGTCTGATTAGAAACAGTCTAGTAATATGCAATTTTTATAATTCCAACAACTCAGCACATGGTCGTTGATGAAAAATAAACAATTTCTCTTTATGCGGAAAAATTCTAGCTGAGTCAATACGACCACATCGTTTGACGACTGCAAGCCACCCACCTAGTAAGATTAGTTTACTAGGTTATCAGTAGCCATTGCTAAGTCACGAAGCAATAAATTACAACAAGTGAACGCATTCATGTCACTTTCTGGGAATATATGAGTTTTTCAGTATTTATAGTCACAATCTCAGCTATGGCTTAGATATAAATTAAAGATTTTGTTCAATATATTAAAGTTGACTTAAATTTATTTTTTATGTAATAATAATATTTATTTTTAATTTAACTTAATTTTTAAAAAACATTAATTTTTCCTCAATAACTGTGCAAACAAATTGTATAAATTTATAATTATTCCAAAAAATGTTTTGGTAATTACTTTTTAAGGTCATTAATGGAATTTTAATTGCTGATAATGAAACACATAAAATCAATTTACTTAATTTTAATTTAAAATGATTCAGTAATGCGGAAAATTATTATCAACTTGTTTTAGTTGATCAGTGATTAGACTAAACATGACTTCTTATTCAAAATGTATCCTAAATAGATAAACTAATATTCATAGGTTTCTGTCTGTTTCCTACATTAAGAATTTATTTGTTATATACAAGTATATCTTAAAGTAATTTAATTTATTATAAGCTTCTTAACATCACTTCTTATTCAAGATGTATCCTAGATAGATAAACTAATATTCATAGGTTTCTGTCTGTTTCCTACATTAAGAATTTATTTATTATATACAAGTATATCTTAAAGTAATTTAATTTATTATAAGCTTCTGGTAAATAGCGGTACTTTATTTTATTGCTATACATTTAAACTACTCTGTTAATCTTAGACTACACTAACAATATGGTTCAGAGTAAATTAAACGACCTGTTATCGAAGTGCATATGGTACGAAGCGTCTAAATCATATACTACCTGAGAAGCAACTGTGGCACCGTTGACAGAGCAATATGTAAAAATCAACTTCTATAATATATGTAATGCAAATATACTCTTATTCAAAATAAAAACTCTTATATATAAGCCGTATGTAAAGTTAATTCTACGCTATCGTAAGGTTAAGTGACTGGTGAAGTAATATAAAGCTTTACGAACCATTTTCCATACATAATATATTAAGGCAAACCCAAACTAAAAGAAGAGTAATTACAATTAATATCACCGTGACCCCAATTCTCGAGCTCTAATTGAACAGACCGATTGTCATGTGCACCCTACTACAAACAACAAATAAAGAAAATATTAACTTTCAAATTATAAAACAATAGTTTACCCTTAAGGTCTATGTGCTGAAATAGATGGTAAAAAAGCTCTATAATGAAATATACTATGTATTGGAATGGAAGTCCAAAGGTAACAAGCAATGCGTGTAATCAAATTTATCTAGAAGCATTGAATCCAGGAAATTCAAGACTCTTAAGAAGAAATAAAGAAGAATGGAGATTTTATGTTAACAGTAATGGAATACGACTACATAAATATTTAAAAGTTTTTTTATGCTAATAGATATAAAAAAATTATAACCTTTTATTAATTTTTATTACTTCGAAATTTTACAGTATCTATACTCATCTACAAGCAAGTTATAAGGACATCTTCCCCTTTCAATAACTGTAAAAACGGCACCCAAATTCAATGGTGTGTCAGAAACTTTAATATATACCTATATATAGATTTTTTTTATTGCAACTATTGCTAAGTATATTAAAATTAAAGCTTCTAGTTTATTGAAAGTTATCATTGTTGTATAGTTGTATTGGTTTTAGTAAGGTTAGCTACGTTTTCCAATTTTCAGAACTGTTAAAATTTCCAAATGTCACCCTAAGAAAGATATTAAAAATACTCTGATATATCAGAAAGTCTGATACATAGAGATCTTTTTCTATTGAAATCATTGTCAAGTACATAAAGAATAGAATGTCTATTCTATTAAAAACATCATCAAGTTCATAAAGGTAAGATGGTTTAAGATATCCATCTTTTAATTATTTAGCTCCACTTAAAAGCTATTTCCAGAGTAAGTAGTAAATGTGTTAGCTGTTACTAACTCCATTAACTTATAATTGGAATTTCTCATATTTCTAGAATAAAATATTAAAATTTAATTCCGTTACTGTATAAAATTATTCTCAAAAAACTTTAATTCCAACTCAGTGGCGTAACTACATTTTTTAGGCCTATAAGCAACTACTAACTAAGGGGCCCCTACTAACATCTTTTTATACCCTTTACACGAAAACGTGTAAAAAGGGTATATAAAGTTTGTCCAGATTTTCGTAACGCATTAAAGGAAACGTCGCAAATACTATAAAGTATATATCAGTAAAGTATATATATACCTTTTCAGTTCAAACTACTCTCTCAGCTTTTGAACTCTTCGAATGAAACTTTACACACATACTTTTTGGGAGCGGTCCCTGATCACCATATGATTTGATTGAAATTAAACTACTATTTCTTATAGCTGCCATATAAACTTAACAACCGGATATGGGGTTTCTCCGTTTTTAATAAAGATACTCCAATGAAATTTGGTATATGTTAATGGTTAATGGACTATTTTGCAATATGGAGTAGATGCAGATTTAAATATAGGACCGATAGAAATTGAGGATTGAAGCACAACTATACGGCAAATCGTTTCGTCCCACTTTTGAGAATTTATTAAAAATAAATACAATGAATACATAAATTTATAATGGGGCCCCCTAAATTCGTGGGCCCGAAAGAGTTGCTTCCAGTCGCTTCCCTGTAGTTACGCCAAATATGGAATCCATACACAGAAACAATGTTTATTTGAAACACGTGGCATATGAAAATACATACCTATTTTTATGTAAAATATTTTTCTTTTTCGTAGACTACCTCAAACATTCATCCACATAATAGGTCAGTTTTATAGATTTTATAAAATTTTCTGAATATAAATTCCATATTTTACATATTGCCACAAATCTTAAGTATATTTTCATTTTTACCATAAGTGCAGAGTTGGAAGTCGAACATTCTGTGAAATTTTGTACACAATTTGCATAATAAATCATTTTATATGAGCATAAATTTTATCACAAAGCATTTATGTGCTTAAAGTGTAAGAAAATTTATGGTAATCATATTAATTTTAAAATTGCCTAAAAGACTAAAACTTATAAGTGGCAACTCACCTCATCCACCCAACTTTTGTATTTCTCAGTTAAAGTGATTTGTTCGAGCATGGCTGAACCTTGATTAGTTTTCCAATTGCCTGAGATGGATTTGCGCCTGTAACGATAACAAAAATGAAAGTTAACTATATTGGACGATTATCAAATTTACGCAATGTAAACATAAATATTGTTTTTAAAATACATATATATATATATGCACAAATATATTTGTATAAATAAACATATATAATTTAATAATGCAAACAGATATTATTAGAAGAGGTCTTTGACTTTTTGTTGTGGGTTAATTTTAAGGTTCAGTTAACAAAATATTTTTGTTTGTAATCTATTACGTTTTCTTGTATTAAAAATGAAATTAATCGTTAATAGTCAAATTATAAACCTTTTATTATCATAATATAAACAAATAATTTTTTTAGTATTTTTAATATACTATATTCTACTTATTAGTTCTATGCTTATTATTTAAATAAATATTGTAATAGTTATGTGTTATAATAACTCAGATCAAATCATTATTAATGATCCATCTCATAACAAATCTTAGAATATCAATCATTAGTTTTATTGATTGATAACTTTCAGTACTGATGTTAAAAACAAAAAATACCATAAATTAACAAATACTTTGGTAAGATAAGAATAGTTTGGTTTACTGATCATCGGTTGACTATTTTACACTAAAACTTTGCTGTAACATCACATAATCCCAATGATATTCCAAATTACTTAGCACACGCTAATGACACAAGAGGAGTCAATTTATTTATAGCTAAATTGGCAACATATTTACGAAATGTACCATCTAATAAGAGCCTAATATAACCATATATCCAGAGGATTACAAAAAATGTGAAAAAAGTGGAGTCTTTTCTATTTCTTTCAAGTGGAGCTTAATTGGCAAAATATTTACGAAATTTTCCATCTAATAGGATCCTAATATAATCATAGATCTATTACTATGCATACGACTACAAAAAATGTGAATAAAGTGTTTGATCGTTTCTTCTTCCAACCAAATTTCGCAATTAATAGTATATTCTGAGGTTTCATGAACCGATGAAATAATGGGAATGACTTTTGTTAGAATTTAAAGGTATATTAGCCTATAATACTATGCAAATAACTTCTGATAGTGTTAAGGTTTGAACAGTTAAACGTCATATTCATACATTTGTTTCAAGATTCAACTATTAATTGATTTTCTGAATAACATATTTTTAATAAAAACCCTAGAGATCTTTGAAGAAGCAAATACTTTTGCGGACAAAATAAATGTTTTCTTATTTATTTTCTTCTTGAAGATAAACGTCTATGCCTTTTATTAAATTATAATAGTTATAACATCCATTTTGAAATTTCATCAATCTATGAGTCAATGAAAGTGAATTCTGTTGAGATTTCAAGATATATTAGACAATGTAAATGACTTCTAATAGTATTGATCAACTTAATAGGATATGCAAACAATCTGTTCCCCGATCCATCCATTGATTGATTTTCTTAAAACCACATTTTTTATGGTAAGTTTAACAGTAAGAATGCATAAAAAAATAACACTGTACATTAATAATTTTATTATATAGTAGGGACTCATATAGTAGGGACGCACAAAACTGAACAAACAGTTACTAAATACTGCAAGGATTACTGTAGTTCTTTCTGATCATTGGTGTTTAGCAACCCACAAAGAACAATTGCGCATTCAATACTTATTAGTGAAGTTGTGAAAACTTAGGGGAAAAAGAAATAAAGATTTTCTCTATGAATGTCCAGCTCTAACCTTCAGAAGAAATAGGCTGTTATAGAAGTATTTTCTTGATTATTTGTCAGACTGTGTATCAGTAAGGATGAAAGATCTATAAAATTATCTAAATTTGAGATGAATGGATTTAGTTTTTGTAAAATGGTGAAAAATCGCTCATTGAGGTAAGCGAAGAGATACTTGCTGACCTGCAATCATAAACAACTTATCACGATATTTTACGAATCTTTTGGATTTCATTATATAGGTTTAACACGTATCACATTAAGTATATAGCGACATATCTATTCTAATTTTGAGAATATGAAGCAGTTAACAGAAGCTTCTATATACGAGGTATTTTTATATTTATAACTGAGTGATAGTGTTAACGAGTGAAGTAATTATCTTTTGATTGAATAAGTTCAGTTTAACACATTTAACGCATGGTAGATGATTCTTCTGAGACAATTTTCTGATTACATTTTAACTTGTTGAAATACTTATTATTATTATTCCATACTTATGGACAAGAAAGAATTTAATTGAAAACTGCAATTAAAGTAGGCGCTTTTGTAGTCATCCGTTTATAGTTGTTACACATGTGGCAGATATATTAAATGCAACACCAAGGTCGTCTGGCTCAAACGCATAAATCGCATCTTCAACTCACGATTTCGATTTCGATTTCGATCTTGTTATTGATTGTTTCGATGACGTGTAGCTTGGTATCATGTTCGAGAAACAATTTAAAAAAAAAGAATTATAAAAAAATTAAAAAAAATTAATAAAAAAAATAAAACAATGTTCGATTAAGTGTGCTTAATGCACACAAAACCACAACAAAATTACTCAAGTTGGGCTAAGACATGCAACGTACAGAGTCGTCACACCTCAGCCGTACTTACATGAATGCCTTGTAATTGTTGCCAATCTTTTGTATGTGCACATCGAACTTAGCATCGATATAAGGTTCAAGTGTGCAGTAACAGTGACTATCGTTGCCCGAACCGGTAACGAGACCTGCGGCATCTTGCAGTGCGCTTTGATTTTCCAAGCGTGCTGTAGCCACACCGCCATGGCAGTGGCCAGCTTTCAAGACGCACGGAAATTTCGACCAGCTGAACTGCAATAAAAGACAGGAAATACACAAAAGTTAATTAGGTTTTTGTATGTTTGTTATTTATTTACTGCTTGCATTATTGTTAATTTTTAAGTGGGAAAAGTATGGGCACTTAATGAAAACGCTCAAGAATAAAACGAAAAAAAATACGAATTTGGCTTTTGGCCAAAATGTGATGCGCTTTTTGGTAATAAGAAGATTTTTATATATTTTTCCTATGAATGTTTTCGTAAGCTTTAATAATTTTTTTTTGATTATTTTTTTTCTTCTTACATTGTTAAGAGATAAAAGAGTAGCTGAAATTTTTGATTATTTCCACGAAATTTTATTCATTTTCCGAGGTACTGAACAGTAAAAATGCACATATTGTTTTTTTAATTGAAACAATTTGTAAAAGAACATTATGATGAAAGTACCAATTTATTAAATCAGCTTTAACCAATTTTCTTTTGTTTTTTTGTAAATAAATAGTCAACCTTGACATTGAAATTCTTAGAAAATAATATTAATTGGATGGTATATTTTAAGATATTTGTTTAAGCGCCACTAAAAATACATCTATTCACCAGATTATTTTTATTTTTGTGAATCAAGATTTTAAACAAAAAATCTTTAAACACTTGGCAAACAAATTATTTATTTTAATATTCTATAAATTATTTTCTTAACAAGTTGATTGAGTAGAAATCATCTTATTTTCTTTTGTGTTTTTAAAGAAAATATTTTCAAGAGGATAAACAGGTCCATTGAAACATTTCAGCTAGTATGAGCAAATTCAAAATGGTCTAAACGTATTAGTAATGTATATACGATTAAGATCATAATAAAGTGCATAAAACTTCTTTTTCAATCCAGCGAAATCGAGCTGTCTTGTTACCACATACCGAAGGTGAGATTCTCAGATTTAGCGCAATTGATGTTGGATACTGATTTTGTAAACGATTTATTTGATATGTCCATTAGATATATTAATTTATTACTTTTATGCTGGTCAAAATATTGAACTAAATTAAATTCAATATAAAATAAGACAAGTTGTTTTTGTTTAAATTTTATTTTTAAGAAAATTTAGCGTATTTGACTAATTAATATAAAAATTAATTATAATAAATATAATATAGATTATATTAATCTAATAATTAATTAATATAACACAATAATAATAATTTTGTTCATAAAATATTTAAATATGAATAAGTGTGTTTATCTCGTTTGAGGGTATTTACATATGAATTGTTAACTGGTAGCTTCTGCATTTCTGGTCAAAGGGAATATCTTATTTTTTGATATGGGTGTCTAATCTTAGTTTACTTAGTTTTCAGTATTCGACACATAGTAACATGACCGTGTTAACTAATATTCCTTGCAACCGTTAGAAGTGCCTACTGGGTTGTGGTATGTCAAAGCGGATATTTCGATTTTATTACTGCTTTCGATAAATGTTAGCTTGAACATATTAGCTGGTATTATTTACAGCCTAGAACGGTTTTCCATTTATGTTTTATAAATCTTAGAAAATGATTTTGAATATACCTCTAAACATTTTTGTTTATTGTTTCAGATCTGAAGGTGGTTTATTTATTTGTTAAGTGACTAGTTATAAAATATGTACGAGCACATATCCCGCATAAAGATATGAAGCTAATAGTGTATTATATTTGTGGCTAGTTTTCAAACCATTCATATATCAGTTCAATGTTGTAAAGTACAGTGTTGACTATATCATTATTCAAAATACGATTATATCTATTTTATTCAAGAAACTCTATGTCTGCTATAAGTTCATATTTATACATAACTACATATATCCAATATCTCAATTATCACTTAACTTTGAGTTAATATGTAATTATTCAAAAATATTCAATCCAATGAATATTTTTGTTAGAATATTTATAAACTACACAATTAAGAAACTCAAAAGGTAATAAAAATTGAAAAATGTTCTTGATTTTTGTACAATATTCATGGTACATTATATTTCTTTCAAAAACTCATTGCGAATTTAAGGTACACAATTAAGAATGTTAATTAATTATTTTTCTTCTTAATGATTCTCTTAAACCGCACTCTGTTAGGTGCTTCTCTGCATATATAATTCCATGTATAGTGCGCTTCTGTCATTTCTCTATCAATTGTTCTTCTCTAAGTTAAAGCCAGTGTACCAGAGCATCTACTGCCTTGTCGTTTCCATGTCAAAGCTTGTCGTGAAATGTATTTATTTGGTCGTATACCCTATCCAATTCCATTTTCGCATTTCGCATTATTTCGGTTACAGCAGCTTTCTGACTTGTTTGGAGCAAAAGTTCTGCATTTGATATGTCGTTAGGCCACCATATTTCTAGGATTTACCGCAGGCATTTATTTAAAAATGTTTGTATCTTCCTTTCTATCTGTTTTGAATATCTCCATGTTTCGCAGAAAACTTCCATGAAAATACGCATTTAAGTTCTATTGTTAAGTTGCCGCAATTTCCATATATTCCGTAATTGTCCAAACACTGCTTGCACCTTCTTCATGCGTGTTGCAACGCATAAATTTAATTAGACTTAATTAATTAAGTTAGTAGATGTATTCTTGATTTTTGTATAGAAATTATAACATAAAATATACATTTCAAAAATTCGTTGCGAATTTTCTATAAAATTTATGTTATCAATAATAATTTTATTGCAATAATGTAAAATTTTAAAGAACTTTTTAATGATTATTGCATTTAATGTATAACAAATGAATATTAAAATTTATATTGAAGTATAAATATTATTGATATAATATTCTTAATCGCACATTGTAAAAAAAATTCTAGTTTTTTTACACTTATTGGGTCTTTGGTATTAAATCTAAGTGCAAATGCGTCAGCAATCTACTTAATTACAAGTATAATTATGTCTACTTATATTTATCGACATTAATCGCATAATTAATACTTGTACAGATGCAAATTAAACGCTCAACTACAGACATATTGAAGTAATTACAAATATTTTATTCTTATAATTTTACACAAAATAGGAAATTGTAATAAAGAAATGATGTCATAACTATTGCAGTGAAAATTGTAGCAAATGATTAAAATGATGACGACAATAAAAGGAATTGTTCCATATACGATTGTGCTATTTTCAGTTAGTTTACTTAATGTTGAAGCCGCCTACCCTTGCATACAATCTCCTTAAGTAGTATACTTATTCCGTATTGAGCAACTGCAACAATGAGCAACAAATGACGGGCGAAATAATTAAGTCGAAGAGGCAATAAAGTTCTACAGATTGACTACTCATACAGATTTAATCTTTTAGCTTTGATTTTATGCGATCTGTTAGCTGTTAGCGTTTAGAACATGTAAGGCGTATAGTTTAAATACCCATAAACTAGTAATTATTTTCTTTTAATATATTATTTAATATTATTTTAATATATTATTTTTATAGTTTTTAATTTTTAATTTTTTTTTCACATACTTTCAATAATCAGTTTATGTAAATAAATGTTACCGCATTTATTGAAGATGAACGCATTCATTGAATTCCGCTGAATTGTTTTCATTCAGTTTTCCTTTTTTGTTGCTTTTTGCTGCTTTAATTTGTTGATATGAGAATTAAATCAGCGGGCCTAAAATACTCAACATGACGCATTGTCATACTCACAGCCGCGCAATTGTGCCACCGTGTCTCTTATATTGTAGATATGTGCATATAGTGAACTATAGTCTATAGATACTTACTATGGTTCGGAAGTGTAACGATTCATTTTATTCTTCTTTTGTTTGGTAAATATTTATATCGTGTGGGGCTGGTGGCTTTATTTGCATTTGCGGTGTCTTTGGTAAATACACGTGCGAGCACTTGCCTATGTTGATACATTAATATGGTTAAAAATTATTATTATCTGTATCACCAACTACAGAATACAAAAAATATATATTTTTGGTTTTTGTAGCAGTAGCGTATAATAATTAAAATTGATGGACATAATGTAATGAAAAAAATATAAAGCATGGGTTTATTGAAAATAGAAAAAAAATTATGCATTGTCAGAGACATAAACACAATTGGAGATTTGCTACAAAAGAAACTGATAGGATACTTTTAACTGACCTGAAGTCATTCAAATTATTTTATGTTTAAATCTATGTCAATTGAGAAAACGAATGTCTCTCGGAATGAAAACGAAAATATATCCCATTGGTAATTTCCTAATATCAGATGCAATATTGAGGTTGAAACAATACAATTGGAATTAAGCTTAAATATCGATGTTTTATTACATACTACTATCAATTTGATTTACAATTCCCATCTACTTGAAATAAAGATACTAGTAAATAAGAATAATAAATTTTAGAACATGAATATTTTAATATATGCTTTGATTGTTACAAGTCTTTAAGTCATTTTCATCCGCATTTTCTTGATTTGAAATCAATTTTTTTTTTTATTCATGAATGAAACTGTTTCAAATATTGAAGGTATATTTTGTTTTATCATGGCTAGTTATTTAAGTCCCATAAATAATTAATTTTCAATTATTATTTTCCATAACAAAATTTTACTTATAATTCTCATATACTTAAAAAAAATTTTTATTAAAATTCTTATGTGTAAGACATTTAATTTTGAAAACTTTAATGTATATATTAATTGGTACTTCACTTTAATACGCTTTTATCATCTGTGTTCTGGTTTAAGACATTGCTTACGGCATCGTATAGATTTGTTAGTAGGATATTTACGCTTTTAAATGATTACATTTTAGACATATTTCAGATACAATAAAAATTTTACATTCAATTTGACTTACAATTCTCAAGTACTTGAAATAAAAATGATTGCGGGTTATTTTAAAAATTGAAGGTTTTAATAGCATGCTTTATCTACATACCCGATTTTGGAATTTGTACTTAATAGGTTTTATTTCATATTTTTAAAGGAAAATATTGTTAATGTATGTATTTTCGTTATCGTATAGATTTTTTTAGCTGGATATTTAAGCTCCTAAATAATTACATTTTACATGTAATAAAAATTTTTCGTTTAATTTTATTTGTACTTCTCAAGTCAGCAAAATATTTATTAAATGATGATATTAGCATAGATGAGAACTGATAAATTTTAATGAATGGTTTATTATGGTCCTTTGATCCCAAGTGTACTGATTTGAAATCATTTAATTGATAGTAAAAAATATCGATAGTAAAATATTTTGGGGAAGAAAAAATCCCCCTAGATGACGATAGAAGCTTTCAGTCTATCCCAATTATTTTCCTTGCCCAGATGCAAGTCAGATAGGCACAAAGAAGGATATAACTGGAAGTCTCATTTGTCTCAGAACAAATCCGACCTTCTGTATCGGCAGATAACCCAATGTCGTTAAGATACTTAAACATACCATGTAGCTCTTTCAGCTAACCTAACAAGGTTTTTAGCTCTCTTTTACTAAAGTGGAAAGACTGATCAAAGCTGTAAGGACATAACAACTGTCTTGCATGATGTTATTAAATATTATTAATTAAATATTATTATATAAAATATAATAAAATAAAATAATTTAAAATACGATGACATAAAATAAAATAAAGTAAAACGAAATAATATAATTTAATATAATTAAATAATATAAAATAAAATAAAATAAAAGAAAAGATGTATAATATAAAAGAATAATATAAAATAGAATAATATAAAAAAAATTATATAAAATAAAATTTAATATAATTAAATAATATGAAATAAAATTTGTATAAAGAAAAAGAATAAAATAAAATATGTATAATAAAATTGAATAGAATAAAATAAAATAAAACAAATTAAAATACAATGCAATAAAAAAAATTAAAAATAAAATAAGATGAAATATAATATGATAAAATAATATGAAATAAAATAAAATGTAATAGAATACAATAAAATAAAATACAATAGATTGAAATTAAATCAAATAAAACAAAATAATATTAAATAAAACTAAAATAAAATTTAATATAATTTAATAATATGAAATAAAATAAAATATGAATAATATAATGGAATATAATAAAACAAAATTAAATACAATGCAATAAAATAAAATAAAAATTAAATAAATTGAAATATAATATGATAAAATAATATGAAATAAAATAAAATACAATGAAATAAAACAATGAAATAAAATCAAATGAAATAAAATAAAATGACACAAAATGTAGTAAAATAAAGTAAATAGAAATCTAATAAAATAAAATAAAATTAAATAAATTAATTATGCAATATGGACAACGGAACCTGAAACATGACGTAAGGATATAGATTTTATTAATATTAATTAATATTTATTTATTTTAGACCCTGATTCTGACGTTAATTTCGACAAAAAAGGTGAAGAGTCGAAATATTAAATATATTAAAAAATATTAAACAAAAGTTTAATTTTCAACAAAAAGGTGACCTGTAGCTGAATTTAAAATATATAAAAAATAATTATTAAGAAACCAGTACGAGAAACAAATTTAAATTCAGATTAAATAAATTAAATTAAAGTTTAATAAATAACGTTAATTTTGAACTTGTCAAATAATACAAAATAATTACTTAGTGTATTGCAAGAATATAAATTTTCTATTATTTAAAACATTTTACTCGAGTTTTTGCTTGATAAACAATAAATGTAATATGAAAGCAATGCGTTCGGCTTATTTCAGAGGAAAAACGTCTAGCGCCATAGCGATAACAATCTTATAGTTTGATGTAGCTACGCTTTAATGCGGAGCAACTCATAGATACTTATACACTGCAAATGATGCAGTTGTGAATTGGGATCAGGTTAATTGAACAGCCGCAGACGTGTGCCACATTTTTCTTCTCATCATCGAGTGTATTTCTATTATTCATCTGAAGTGAGCAAGCAAGTCAGGCATTACTGAGCACAACGTCAGCTGTAAATTAAAATACTCGTATCTTATGCGGGTGAAAAATATTCTAAAAAATGCTTAAAATTCTCAAAACATTTGAACACTTCATGAGTTGATTTTACTTTATGCGAATTGGAGAGATCTCCCTAAGCAAATACACCGATACTCATTCCAAACAATATGCCAAACAATATTTAATGAATGAAACACTCTATAGTAGCATTTAATTTTGGCGCTTTGGTCAGTGCGAACATTTGAGTTTTATTCTGTGTGTCGGCGAATAAATTTGCTACTCAAGATACTTGTGTTGTGGCGATCAGCTCAAGTGCTTAAGAAAATTTTCTACTCAACTATCGATACGATTTTTTCGGCGGAGAGCCATACACTCATTTCGGTTGTAACTTTTGATTTTAGTAAAAAATTTTTAAAAAGGCGAAACGGTTCATTTTGTAAATCAGTCGTTAGTCGCTTGCAAAACGTATAGGGGCAGCGTTTCATAAATAAAAAATTTTAATTGAATATTTTTTTCGAATTTAGTGTATGCAATCGAAAATTTGACAGATTAAAGTGTGCGATCTTGTTATTAAAAAACAAAAAAAAAATAAACGTGCGTTGAATTATTAAAAATATTTCTAAAGTATAAATGAAAATATTTTAAATTCAAAAATTGTGCAGAACAGTTTAATTAAAGAAAGTGGCAAAGAAGTATCTGAAAGTTTTTATTAATATATAAAATAACAAATATCAAACTTATTCAACAAGTGTGTTAGAATGCGTATTTTATTCTAATAAAATACTTTTTACTTTTTACTTTTAAAAACATTTGTTAACTTCACTGAACGTGTCACCTTTGCATTTATTTTTGGCTGAGAAAAATATAAATATTTTTAATATTTCGGTGAGTTTATGTTGGCAATAAAATAAATTTACTTCAGCAAACGTGCACCATTAGGTATTAAAGAAAGTATTTATGTTTGGGTCACATGAAAAATCATAATAAAAATGCATATATCTCAGACATAAGCTTAATGAACAAAATTATTAGTAATCGACTAAATATTTTTAATATTTGAAATGCATTTTCTGTGACATTCTCATGAAAATGCAAGTGTTGTTCTTACAATTGAAAGTATTATTGTTTTTTTTTTTGTAAATTTTTGGCTAGTAGAATACTCGAAACGACACAGTTAAGATTTTTATTTTTAAATATTTTTATCTTAAATTTTCTTCTCAGACTTTTAATTTTATTCTTGTTATTTTATTATTTTTGCTTAAACTTTTTAGTGTTGTCAATTTGTAAACAGAAAATTTGTGTTTTGCTACTTTATTAGATTGTTTGTATTTTTATTTTGTTTTGTATTTGATTTTATTATTATTTTTATTTTTTGTGTCAAAATTTATTTTTCCTTATGTTTTTTCCTATTTAATTTTATTTTTATTTTTCATCGCTTCGAACAAATTTATTATGTTTTCACTCTGCGAATTTATTTGTGCCTGATATTAATTTGTATCTTCTGGATTTTGTATCTTCTGTAATTGCTGTGAAATATGTGTATTTCTGTCTATTTCCTTGGGTATTCATAGTTTTCCATACCGCGCTGTTTTTTTGTTTTTTTTTGTATATCATTTATTTAATAAGAAAAAATGTCAAGGAGAGTTAATGTTCGTTATTTACGCGATGCTCATACGCACTGTGATATGAATCAAAAATTTTTCTTATGAATTTATGACAAATAAACATGTTTCCTTTTATGTTTATTAAGAAAATTATGTTTGAAGTGAAGAATATTTTATTGCATCATAACGTAGAAATTGTGCACATTATATTTTAGTTTAAATAAAATAGTGTAGGTAAATTAATTAGTATGAAAAGTTACGAAAATTTAAGCAGCCACATGGGATCCAAAAAGTTCGTGAATTTATTTTGTATAAAATTTAATTAAAAATTTTATGTTCTATGACAAGTGTTTCTTCAGAAAGAAAAGGGGTGTTGGTAAGGAAATTTTTAAATCCAAAAATTTAATTTTTAATGAAGTGAATTCTTTGATGTATCATGAGATTGTTTTAAAAACCACCAAAAATATCCATCATCTCTGCAATCGATGTCTTTAGAAACATATTTTAGTATAATTATTCATATACAATTTTATATGTAATTAGGCTGTTTCCGCTATCTTCAAATATTTAATATCAGTGGTCTTTGGAAATATCTATTGGTTTAATTATTCGGAAGTGATTAAGTCAATTGAGGCTTGCAAGACCTAATTACATAATAAATCGCATATAGACAAATAAAACAAAAGACCATCCAAAAACCATTGATAGTTGATTCGAAAATACAATATTTTAGAAACTAGAATTACATATTCAGTAAATAGTTTACTAGAACAATTTATTCTTTTCGTTTTATCTTTTTAAAATTTTCAGAGTATGTTACAGAACTTGAAAAATGAAATATATCTTATCTTAATATAACTTAAAAATTTCATTAACCTTTAATTAGAAATTTTTGTGATTCTAATTGAACTTTTAAAAAATACTCGATACATACAAGTTTATATACCATAGTTGGCTTATATAATAATTTGTTTTAGCGGGCTAATTGTTAAATCAAAATACAAAATTAAAACTATAATTTATTATTTATATTTAAACAAATTATATTTTATTAAAATATTATTTTGATATTTCGACTATCTTCGTTAGTGATCTTCAGGAAAATTAACAATATATACAATGTAAAATTTATAGCGAGAAGATTAAAAAGAAAATCATACAAAAAATATAATCATAATAACACATTTAGTTATAATATTCCTATAAGCCTGGACACAGTTGTCCGTATTCGTTGTATAATTAAGTTTCTTGCTATTCGGAATTTTTAGTATTGAAAACATTTCCAGAAAGTGTATTTTGTTTTGGTTTCTTTTTTAACACTTAGATGGTTTAATAAAACCTAAATTAAACTAGTATATATTATTATTATAATTTTAACACTCCATTATGAGCTTAAGGAATCTATAAAAGTTTTCTACTGGTTTCTATTTTGTGCTATTGCTCTTAGCTCGTTAAACGATTTGCCCGTCTTCTGCTGAACTGTCCTTCTCCAGATCATTGCTCCACGTTTGCCTCTGCACCTAATCCCCTGGGGGTTCCTAGTAAGTGCAGCATGCGCAATAACTTCATAAGGCTTACTCAGTATGTGTCCAATCTAACCATACTTTTTTCTTCTTATCTCGTTGTTTACGTTTGTTTGTTACGTTATTCTCCATAACTCTTCATTTGAAATCGTTCGATTCGGAGTTAACAAGTATATAATTGAAGATTAATATAACATTATTTGTTATTTTTAAGGTAAAAAAAGAATAGCTTTGAAACAAAAATAGGCAAGCTCAAAGATTAACTTTCAATTCGTTGAACTTGTGTTTCCAAATAAAAAGCTGTAGTTTATAAGCTCGTTCTAATTTAAAGCACGGCAAGTGCTTTGGTTGGTGTCACTAATTAAATAAAAATAAGTGACAATAAAACCTGGAACTTGAGCATTGAAAGTTTGTGCAGCCTTGGCTTCTTGTGGATAAACACGATTAGTCATCGCTTCTAATTTGACAGGCACGAGTTCTAAGCCTGGCACTTGCAGTCCAAACAAATTATATACGGACTATAAACTAATTAAATAAAAATTCGATTATTTCCAAAGACCACTGATGAAGAGTACTTGGCAATACTCGAAACAGCGTTGTATGGTCAGCCAAATTTCAATAAATTAAATAAAAAATTTTTGTCTTTGCCTTTCTTTGCTATTCGAATCGGTCTAACTTTTAAATTATTTGTTATTATTTATTATTATTATTTATTTATAATTTAGTTATATGTAAAATTAATTTTATTGAATAAGCGATTGTTTTAAAATCTTAAAATTATTTTATAAACATTAATTTAATGTCAGATTCTTAAGTAACATAAGTATATATAACGCTTTATATACAATTTTATTATTGTCTTATAAATAAAATCTTATAATATAGCTTTATGAGTATGTATGTCTAATAACACTAACCGACAAATTGTACAATAATTACTTATACATTCTTAAATTGTCGTTTCTAAAGTATTTTGGTCCGATTAATCCAAAATTAATTACAAAAAATATATTTGGATGTAATCGGACGGATATACTATATAACATAACCTTATATTTTATTTTTAAATTTGCGTTATGCTTTGAAATAATATTTTATTTTGGCATTGTAATTCGTTATATATAATATTGTAAATATATTACATAAATAATTCGACTATATAAATTGATATAAGTTCAATATATAAATTATTATAATATACTTGAAAAATAGACAACCAAATCAAATATTTAAATATTGCCTTATTAAAAAACAATAATAATAAATATTTGCATTATTATGACCATATAAAGTGAATAAATCATACGTGCTGAAAAATACTCACAAGTTCATTAAAACTAATTGAAGAAAAATAAAAATTAATAAAAAACTTTATTATTCTGTTAACCACGATTTTGTTTGGCGCAAAAAACAAATAGACGATAACAAAAGTTAAGCAGATTGAAGCAGCTTATATCGCACTTCATTGAATATATGTCCGCATTTAATGCAATGTAAATATAAAAATAAAAACCTTAACCAACTGACAAATATCAGATTTTTATTTTGAAATAAAGCATGCAAGTAATTCGAAACTAAAAATAGATTACTACATATAATTGTGAGATACGAATTGTGGTTTTAGAATAGAAGATTTATAACAACTTTAATTGAAAATTTATTTAATGTTACATAAAAATGGATTTTTTAAAAATTTTTATGCCAAACTGAATAAAAAATATATTTTTTAAACTACTTAATATCATATATACGATCGAAGATTGAAATTTTTACTACAATCTGCCTGGTTTAACAAATGTACCCGTAGTTGATGTTACTACCGTGCAGAATTCAACTTAGTCTCTTAAATCTACATCTTTAAAACATATCAAAGACACAGATTTAAAACGTATTAAAGACACAGATTTGAAACGTATTAAGGACAGATATTTGTATACTAAAAATCTAAATAAATATAGTAATACAGATATGTACTTTCTATCATCTGAAGTACCAATTACTTTAAAAGATACATCGTACTGTTCTTTTGATAAGGCTTGAATGAGTTCAGTGAGACTTTCGTCTCAAACAGTAAGAATTAATAAATTGGTAGCTTCTTTTTGGGATCCATTTTTGGAAGCATAATATGCAGACACAATAGGCAGATATGCTGCCATTAGACACAGGCAGCTGCAGTTGCAACAGTCTTTTTCAATAAAATTGTATTTAAATCTTAAATTGTACAGACCTATATAACGCAAAACGTAACGCACTTCAGTTTTAGTTTGTTTATGGAAGCTAATAGTCTTTTGGGTACAAAGAAGTTGTTTATGATTCCATCTTTAAGCAAACTGATCACTGAAAAAATGTTATTGACTTTGACTTTATATAAATGTCCTCCGCCAACTACAAAATTGGCACCAAGCAGTAGCGTGACCTGAATGCAGGTGAAAGTCTCAAATGACTAATAGGGACCCTACCTCGAAGTAATATTTACGTAGTCTTGGGGTAGGCTAAGGTCTCTAGCAATAGGGGGGAGTGGTTTTAGTCTGTACGTGTTGGGCACTTACTTTCGGGGCGCCGGATTGTGGTCAATGCTTAGGCATTACACTCCTCCTTGCCGCAAAAAAAAAATACAAAATTGGCAACGATTTTAAAAGTTTGAAAAAATTTTTTATTTTTCAATTAAACCTTATCTTACTAACACATGGAATCAATATAAGTCTTATAAGGTGATATTTTAGTTTACAGTACCTTGTTAGGATTCCTGTGATGATTC